GGGCAAACAGCCACGCTCCCCCCCCCGCATTTTCCTGCCCGTGAGCAAGAATGACTTGGTCAAGGATCCCTCATGAGCTTCTAGCAGGCATTAGCTCCCCAGTCTCCCCAGACTAGATTTAGCACTCTGCTACTGAGATAGCTCTCAGATCTGCATCGATGCTCCTCTCTGTTGCTTGTGTTGTCTTTCTTAGGGGGGGTAGGATTGCCAGCTCCAGGTTGGGAAATACCTGAAGATTTGGGGGGTGCAGCATGAGGAGAGCAGGGTTAGGGGAGGGGAGGGGAGGGGAGGGGAAGGAGTAGGATATAATGCCATACAGTCCACCTTCCAAAGTGGCCATTTTCTCCGGGTAAACTGTTCTCTGTTAGTCCTCTAGCTGAGGGCAGGCAGTAGAGAGGTGGCAAAAATGACCATTTGCAGCATGAACAGGGAAATGTTTTGAGGCTGCAATTGGCTGAATTTTTTCAGGCTGCAGTTGGTTGAATTTAGAGAGGTAGTGTTGGGGAGGCTGCACAATCCATTCTCTAGGGCTTGGATGCCTGCTGACAATGCATATTGGCCTCCACTGTATGCTGCTCTGGAGAGCCAGTTTGGTGTAGTGGTTAAGTGTGCGGACTCTAATCTGGGAGAACTGGGTTTGATTCCCCACTCCTCCACTTGCACCTGCTGATGTGACCTTTGGCCAGTCACAAGCTCTTGCACAGCTGTTCCTGAAAGATAAGTTTGTGTCAGAGTTCTCTCAGCCCCACCCACCTCACAGGGTGTCTTGTGGGGACGGGAAGGGAAAGGAGTTTGTAAGCCACTCTGAGACTCCAAGTGAAGGGAGGGGTATAAATCCAATCTCCTCCTCCTCCTCCTCCTTCTTCTTATGTAAATGAAGAAATGTTAAAGAAGATACCATAGCTCTCCAGTGCCCTGTCTATCAAGGGAAAATTATATTGTGTAGGCTGCCCCTGAAACTCCTGAAAAACCCCTTATTTAGTCCACCAGTGACAGCCAGTTTGCACTATCCAGTCCTAAGTTTGATGTATCTTTATTGAACCATAGCCACTTTGTTTTAGTGGCTGGACTTGTTTATCCTACATAAAGCCTTTAAAACATTTTCTGTGTATAGTAGCACCACAAGTTAATTCTGTTGCACCTGAATGTGGAAAAAATCTCCTTCAACAGTGTAAAAAGATTCTAGTGTGGAATCACCCATGGAAACTTTAATTTGGAGGAAGGTATTCAGTGCTACTTTAAGGTTATGCAGTCTCATACTGAAAGGAGCAAGTGGTGCCCTTTTTCTCTCTGGATTGCAGTTCATGACCTTTTCCATGCTGGTTCAATGCAGTCTTTCCTTCAATTCCTCACATTAGTGTTGTGCATTCATGCACTCCTAGGTTTTTCCTAGCTTTTCTCCAATCTTTCCCAAGCCTGCTTTGCTGCCAAGGTTGTGGCAAAGCCTGGATGGCTGCAGTATAGGTGGGAAATTCCAGATTTTTCTTGTCCCACTCACATGGTAGTCATTTTACTTTTCTCAGTCCTTGTATAGGCTATCCCCTACCCAACCACCCCACATCCTTGTCGGACTTCTTTGAATTTTTAATAATTGGAATATAAAGTTATATTGCTATGCCAATAATGGGGGGGGGGAATCCTTGACCCTCTACATTAGGGGTGTCAAACTCATTTGTTATGAGGGCCGGATCTGACGTCACTTTGTTGGGTTGGGCCGTGTGTGCCATAAAATGTAACACAAGGTACTAGAGATATAAACTTTGCATCCTCCAGGAATGAATTGAGACCTAGATTTCCAGCCTCATTACCAATGCTTGCTATTGTCATTTGGCATCTGAAATCATCCCAACCTCCCAGATATAAAGACCAATGGACTCACATTCTAGCTGTATCTGAAGAAGTGAGCAGTGACTCACAAAAGCTCATGCCCTGCCACAAATGTTGTTAGTCTCTTGCTCTTTTCCACTAATAAAGATTGCAAGCTGTGCTGTTAGGTTTCTTTCTTTCTTTTTTTCTTCATCTGGTTAAACTGGAGAGGGGGATCTCTCCAAGTGAAATAATGTGTTGATTTCAGACTGGGCAAAATTTTGGAGCATCAGCACCCAACAGACCAACAGGAATCAAGGGCTCCTTCTCATAGGATTGAAATGGGTGCGCCAGGGTTGGATTAGATGACCTTAAGGCCCCTCTTAGCCTTGTCCCCGAGGCAGTTGCCAGTGCACGACTGGCCTCAATGAAAGGCAAGGGTAAGAGAGTGAGAGACAGCTCACAGCAGCCCCACCTGAAGCACACGGACTGCAAGTTTCAGGCTACAAGCAATAGCTAAGAATGCCAGCAAGAACACTAAGCATGGAAGAGGGAAAGAGGACGTGGATGCCAGAGGCATTTCAAGCCAGCACAGACACCCTCTGCCTCCACCTGAAAGAAAGGGAGGATTTTTCTTACCTCCCTCAGTGGAGTTGAAGCCACCTTGCTGCTAATTCCCTACCAGCAGCTCCCCCAAGCCCAGAAGAGGGAGGTCGGAAAGGCACAGAAGCAGCGGGTGGGGGGAACAGGAAAAAAACTTTGACGGTCAACAGTGAGAGGGACACTGAGGCAGGGAGTCCAGAGGGGGAGAAGGTGGCGGCAAGGGGAGCAGACACCAACCATGCACAAGCCATGGCCAGGGACTCCCCCAGCGCGCCTTTGGATACATTTGCTTAGAAGAGGCACTAGTGTTTCATGCGGGGGGGGGGGAAGCAGGCACTGCCTCTCGCTAGGAAAGGGGGTTTCTGCAATGGACTGAAGAGCCACTCCAACTAAGTGATGGCTCTGAATCTTGTGCTGGAAGGGCAAAAGAGGGTCACTTTCAGCTGGGGAAAACAGACTGGCTTCCTTCTTGTGCTGCAGTGGCAACAGCCAAGCATTGCACGCATGAGGCAGCAGG